AAAACTAGTGGTGAGTGGCAGAACATTATCACAGCTGAATAGATCCGATGAGAGGCTATAGAACGGGAGCGTCGCAGCAACTTAAGGCAGTCAGTTCCAATAGGGGACACAAGGGGAAGATGAGGAAACTATTGGTGAGTGACAGAACATTATCACAGCTGCTTGGACCTGATAAGAGGATATACAACGGAAGGGTCGCTACATCAGCAACTCAGGGAGGTCCTTCCCATTATGTGATACAGAGGAAAAGATGCGAACACTACCAGTGAGTGACAGAAGATTATCACAGCTGATTAGATCCGATGAGAGGCAATAGACGGGAGGGTCGCCACATTCACAGCTCGGGTCGCAGTAACTGAAGGAAGTAAGTTCCAATATGTGATACAGCGGAAAAGACGAGAAAACTACAGGTGAGTGGCAGAACATTATCACAGCTGATTAGATCCGATGAGAGGCTATAGAACGGGAGCGTCGCAGCAATTTAAGGAAGTCAGTTCCAATATGTGATACAGCGGAAAAGATGAGAAAACTATTGGTGAGTGACAGAAAATTATCACAGCTGATTGGATCCGATGAGAGGCTATAGAAAGGGAGGGTCGCAGTAACTCAAGGAAGGTAGTTCCAATATATGATACAGCGGAAAAGATGAGAACTATTGGTGAGTGACAGAAAATTATCACAGCTGATTGGATCCGATGAGAGGCAATAGACGGGAGGTCGCCACATTCACAGCTCGGGTCGCAGTAACACAAGGAAGTCAGTTCCAATATGTGATACAAGCGAAAAGATGAGAAAACTAGTGGTGAGTTGGCAGAACATTATCACAGCTGATTAGATCCGATGAAGAGCTATAGAACGGGAAGCCGTCGCAGCAACTTAAGGAAGTCAGTTCCAATAGGTGAACAAGGGAGACAAGATTGAGAAAAACTATTGGTGCAGTGACAGAACTTATCACAGCTGATTACATCCGATGAGAAGCTATAGAACGGGAGGAGTCCAACATTCACAGCTCGGGTCGCGTAAACAAGGAAGTCAGTTCAATACATGACACAGAGAGACGGTTGCGTAGTGAGCGTCGCAGTAACTCAAGGAAGTCAGTTCCAATATGTGATACAGCGGAAAAGATGAGAAAACTATTGCTGAGTGGCAGAACATTATCACAGCTGATTAGATCAGATGAGAGGCTATAGAACGGGAGCGTCGCAGCAACTCAAGGAAGTCAGTTCCAATATGTGATACAGCGGAAAAGATGAGAAAACTATTGCTGAGTGGCAGAACATTATCACAGCTGATTAGATCCGATGAGAGGCTATAGAACGGGAGGTCGAAAAATAAGAGTCAGTTCCAATAGGTGACACAGAGGTTGCGTGTGAGCGTCGCAGCAGCTCAGGAAGTCACTTCCAATACGTGATACACAGGAAAAGATAGGAGCACTACTGGTGAGTGACAGAGCATTATCACAGCTGATTAGATCCGATGAGAAGCTATAGAACGGGAGGTTCGTCACATAAGCAACTCAAGGAAGTGCCTTTCAATAGGTGACACAGAGGAAAAAGACGAGAAAACTACTGGTGACAGAACATTATAAGAGCTGATGCGATCCGATGAGAGGCTATAGAACGGGAGGGTCGCCACATAAGTAACTCAAGGAGGTCAGTTCCAATACGTGATACAGAGGTTGAGTGCGAGCGTCGCAGCAACTCAAAGAAGTCCCTTCCAATACAGATACAGTGGAAAAGATGAGAAAACTATTGGTGAGTGACAAACAGCTGATTAGGTCCGATGAGAAGCTATAGAACTGGAGGGTCGCCACATTCAGAGCTCGAGTCGTGGTATTTCAAGGGAGTCAATTCCAATACGTGATACAGTGGAAAAAAAGAGAAAACTATTGGTAAGTGACAGAGCATTATCACAGCTGACGATCCGATAAGAGGCCATAGAACGAGAGGGTCGCTACATTAGCAACTCAAGGAAGTCATTTCCTGTTTGTAGGGGTGCGCCACGCATATGACACCCACTCACATTCCTAGCAGCAATTAAAGTCATGTAGGAACATGAAACAGCTGTTTGTGTTTAGTGACACATACCCTGCAGTCAGAAGCATGTGGGAGCACTTTTGCGACAGGATACGTTTCGGGGCCAAGCCACTGCTGAGTCCCGCTGTTAACCCTTGTCTCGCACATGTCTTCTAATGATTGCTGGTTTTTCCAAACACAGCTCCCCCTTTTCCAGCGAGGGAGCTATGACCCCTTTGTTGAGGATTCCTCAACAGATGCTTGACCTTGTTAGGGATTGATTATGCTTGGGATGGATGCAGCAGCTTGGATGAAAAAATGGATGTGGCAATTTTTAAAAGGAAATTTCCAAGGGATCAGACTGGCCCTCATTTGAAAACGTCAGGAGAATACCCACCTCTCACCTAGGAGGATTTGAAAATAACAAGTGGTTGGATTCACAGAAATCCGTTTAGTGTCCGCGCGCAGGCGAACGCGTCGCGTGAACTTACCTAATGGCGGATTTATCTGCCGGTCTCTGAGGTGCAAGGGAGCCAAATGCGAATATGAAAGCTGGAGAACCGCAGAATTCTTTATTTAGAGTAGTAGTACAACAGCAAAAACTTTCTCCCGTGACATAGACCAAAGTGCACGGTTAGTTCTCTCCACCGTTATCCCACTTGCACTGAAGGTAGCTTGACGGGACGAAGCCTTCAGCAGAGTCCGCAATCCTGAAACAAATGAAATATAAGGTAACAGCACATATGGCTACGAAACTCATTGGAAGTCCTGGGTGTCCCAAAAGTTCGTGACTTTTTTTTCAATGTATCAAATCTTCGCGCCAGACAGTCATGTGGTCTATAAGAAGACTACTGAGTAAGCAACCCTAGTTGCTTTACCGTCCTTCGCAGTCGCTGTTCTCATATCCAAAGCGGTAGATGAAACTCGTCATTTTCGTCACACTTTGCTATATGAATCTCCACTGAGTCCCAGCCTGGTTGGAGCCACACGCGGCATTTGCTCCGATGGTCCTGATGCTACCTTCCATAGAATGGCGTTCAAACTGCCTGATCGCTTTCGCTTATGACTTTTCATCTGGGAGCTACGTCCCGCAAGGCCATCTGCCTTGGACTTGGATCTACTGCGTTCCTTGATCAAAACTTATTTGTAGGAATCGATTCGCTATCGAGTCCTTACACTTCGCTGTTCAAGAGCACAAATGGCAGAGGTCCTCACTCTCTCAAAAAGTATTGAAGTGTGGTCAAAACTTTGTCGTGTGTTGACCGATACCCAAAGGGGAACGCATGTGGGTACTATCTACAACTTCTCTCCCCGCCCAACGGTTTGATTGAACAACGTTGCAGCAGGATATGGAGGAGACCTCTAGGTGAACCACTCCCGGCAGCGCCAGTGGCTAGACCCAGTAGAATGGGTGGGACCGGTCTAGCAATCCTATCAATCCAGCAGGGCGATGATACTGGGTATGTGGTGGAGTTTACCGCACGGAATGTTTTCCTCTCAACGCTGTGGTGAATAGGGAGTCCTATTGCAATCAACTGCAAAGGGGAGATGAAAATCCACACTATGTGGTACCATAACCCAGTAATGTTTGCCTACTCCACCACAGCTAAGGCTTACACGGAAATGACATTGCTCTGAAGCTCCTAAAAAAGGTTTTCAGAAGCACCTCAAAATGACCCAGCGGCCATTCTCGGCACGGGACCCAAAAGTTTCTGGAAGGCAACCACTCCTTCATGGTCGTTGACAATAAAATGTCGATGAAGGTAACATATATGGTGTCAATGGGAATTGCTTTTCATTGAGACACACTTGAAAAAAAGTTTGAAATTCACAAACATTCGGGATACCCTAATTTAGTGCTGGCGAGTTATCTGAGTGAGGGCAAAGTATTAACGTAGGCATAGCTTGATCAAAAGGAATTCGACAAGACGTTTCCGCAAATTTTTGCCCATTTCATGGGTAGCGCGAAGACTACAATACATTCCAGCCGTCCTACTGACACCATCACTGCACCTATTGTGGGACTGTGAGACCCCCTCCAACGTTACTCTTCTAATTTAATGACCCCCCCCCCCAAAACGAGAGGGAAGGACCATGTATGACTCGTTCTTCTTTTTCTTGAGCGTTTGTCCCACTCTGTGGTGAGCCGCTCTTCTTATTCGATGACGCCACTTCTCTCGAACCTGTGTCTAGTCAGGTTGAATGCCGGCCATTTTCAAGTTTGTATGCAGCGTGTCAAGCCAGCGTTTTGAACACCCTTGAGGCCCTTTCAGGGTACCTCGAGCTAGCCCACAAGTGATAGCGTTATGAAAAGCGAGGATCGTTTCCGAGGCGTTCTTTGCTATTCGAGAGATAATTTTAAGTTCTACAAGATAAAGTAAATGCCTCCCTACTGCTTCTTGATTTTTGTCGTTTTTTATTCCATTGAAAAGGAGTATCGGTTCGACATAAAAGTGAGTTTCTGACAATAACTGTTTGCACTTTATCTCAGTTCTCATATTACAGAAAAAAAAACTTGAAATTCGCGATATATCCAAGGAACGATGCCTTTTAGGAATGATCGAAGCTGGTTGAAGTGATTGAGAGATAGAAAATTTGGCCTTTCAAATGTGCAGCGCGGGGCGCCCTTCTGGGGAGCGACTGCCTGCAGAACCCATGCACCAAGTTTTGAATCTCTTCCATAAACAGAAGGTTATGCTTAATGATGATGGTGAACCGTTTCATTGTTTTCGTGACCTAACAATACCTCAGTCTTTGGCATAGACCTCCTTGAATAAGCTGATTCAGTGAGCTCTCAGTTGGACTCAACGGGCTTACGCTTGACGCTTGTCTTTGAGGTCGAAATTGAAATCTTCGAATCACTCAAACTGTTGTAAGCATTCCTGAGAGATAAAGCCTCTTGCCCATATACCTAGCAATTAGGCATGTGCGGTTAGCTTTTTATAAAGAGTAAAGTAGAGAGGGTGCCGAAAATTCAATTCCGTCGACCTGACACTTCAGTTTGACCACCTAAATATTAGTGGAAAGAACTTTAAAAAAAACTAAGAAGACTATCGTATAGGGTTAGGGCTTCTCTGCAAAACAGTATGAAATTCAGTGGCAGAGCCTTTGATCTTCAGTGCGATATTTCGAGTGAGAAAAACGCCATTACTTACGGGCCAACCTGATATATGGCCGCACCATAGAAGGCGCGCTTCTCGCACTTTGTTACCTCTAGGCGCTACCAGGAACCATTTGCGTACGGCATTGTCACAAGCACGTTCCAGTCGCGTGACGCCCGCTGGCGCCCTTCGGCTTCTTGGTCGCGAGCCAGCACTCTGCACCGTCTAACGCGAACAGTCGGACCACAATTCTGTAGATCTTTGTATTGGGCGCTGTGGTATTTTGTTGTCGCAAAGGGTGCAGACATTAATCGCCATTCGTACTCACTCACAATCGCTGATTTAAGATACCAGACTGTTTCTGTACGCTTGTGCACCGCGTTGCCGATGTTCATGGAGAAAAGCCCATTTGGGGCGCTGTCAAGTACTCGGTTTTCTGGGTCCAAACTTCGCCACGCGATTGGCCCAAGCTTGCACCTGCTGTTGCAATGTGTCACCACATCACTAGCGTCAAACAGCGTCTAAGCCACTACCGGAAATTCCGTGAGATGGCATCCATGACGACAACGCAAGAGTGAAAGCGTACGTTATAAGCCTGAGCGGCACATGATCGAATGCCTCCACCAAGTCTAAAAAGGCTACAGGCACGAGCTTTCTCTTCTCACTATATTTTCCAGCAGAAGGCGTGCGGCGTGTATGGCGTCGATGGTGCTACAGCGCAAGACGAAGTCAAACTGATCGGTGGAAAGCTAGGTAGTTTCACGAACACGGCCATCAAGATTTTGATCGAAGAATTTTATGGTGTGCGAGAAAAGGCGAACTGGGCGCTAGTTTGAGCCGGGCTGCCTTCTTCTCCCGAATAAGGATCTCACGCTCTGAAGCCAGTCCTTGAGCACTTTATTCTCTTCGACGACCAGGTTGAACAGCTCGCCAACCACTCAGCAAAAAACCAGCGTTTTGACTTCCACAGATCAACTGCCATGTGCCTGCCGCTTTGCCGCCTTTCATCTTCCTCAGAGCCGCTTCTGTTTTCTATATCTTTCTATATCTTATTATATATCTTTTTCTATATCTTCTGAACGGGGCCATATGTTGTTAAGGCACAGTAGGTAGCCGGATGGGTCAATTCTACTACTGGAATGTTCTCAGAGTACTTCCGCCATCGTTGCAACGCCCTCATTCAGTCCATCAGAATATGGCCGTTCTCGTCATTTATGGTAAAAACTTTTCTATCTCCCGTTTGGCGATGGCGAGATTTGGTAAGTCCGCACAGATACCGCTCGCGTCTCCAGTTTCCTGCTGACATCATCGAAAAGAGCGGCCTTCTTTGCCGCACTTTTTACTTTCCGGAGTTCCACCACCCACCAGTCCTCAGCTGACTTGTGCTCGAAAAACACGCATGTGGTAGAACTGTTTCCCCCGTGGACGTTTGTTCTAACGTTGTCTCACGTTCCACAGCCAGGCCTTTGTCGATTCCGCGCCGTACGGGCTTTGCTGAGCCGTGTTCGGAGCGGACCGCCTAGGCTATCGACTCGGGGCATTTTTCCAGGTTTCGGCGACAGTTGTGACCTTAGCGAGTCGAATGCAGGAGTTGCAGCTGCCCTCGCTCCTTCAGTTGCCACCACTCAATTCCTTCGGAGCTGCATCGCTCCGTCTGCTTCAGTCTGGAAGCTGCAAATTTCAACGTGTAGATCAGCGGGAGGTGCTGCGTGGCATCTGTTTTATACGGCACTAACTTGGCGTCTATAGCGAGTACTTGATCGCCATGTCTGTAACAAACCCTATTTGTGTCCTGCTTCTCCCGCTGTAGAAGCTGACGAGCTGGGAGGCGCCTCACCAAACTTCGTGTTCAGAATGATGAGATTATGTGCATCTGCATAGTCAAGGATTCGCTTACCTAGCATTCCGGGATCCATTACCCGAATGCACCATGATGAACGTAACCGTCATTCGCAGAGCCCACGCGCCCACTCAAGTTGCCAGCTACAATCACACCGTCTTCTGGTGGTAGCTTAGACGCTTTCTCATCTAGCAGAGCCCAGAACTTGTTCCTGGATTGCTCGGAACATCCAATTTGCGGGGCATCTATAGAGAAGAAAAGACGTCGATCCTTCTGCGCCCTAGTGCCGCTGCTAACTCATACGAGCATCCAGTCAGCGTCCCAACGTTCATCGTTGGAGCGCGAGCCTTCCAGACCCTGACAATTTTCGGACTAGCCTGACTGTCCCTCGATGCCGTCCTTGCATCGGGGAGTGGGAGCCAATCCAGTCGATATCATTGAGAGTGGAAGAAACAGAATAAACTCGCTTTTATAACCTATGAAAGAGGATCGAAGGCGTGCCGACTTTGCGGCACGCACTCGAAGGGTGGTGAACCTTATTTCCAGTCGATGCGACTGTCACTACCTCAGATGTAAAATTGCAATTATTATGCAAAAAAAAGATATAAATAAACTGCTGGCAAACGTAGTTAGAGAAAGAAAGCTTACAGGGAGTAAATCACACGCAAGGATTTCATGGGAATTGGGAACGGATTCAGAGAAAAGTAGCGTAATGATTCCTGGGGAACTGCATTAAAACTTCACAACTCCTCCTACACGTACAATTGCCCATGATAAAAATTACGAATTTAGCTCGGTCAGGGTGATGCCGTTGACCGCTCAAGCCAAGGTTCTGTGATGGCACTTATCAGCAGCTGTGTTTTCAGTAGCGATGGAACATTGGCTAATGTGATTGGAAAACTAGCTAATGTGACTGGAAAACTTAACACCAGTGACCGTGTACGCACGTTCCACCGAGCTGGAAAAGGAGGAGTTCGCTGAACGAGGCCATAAGTTCTATTGCAGAGGATAACTATCTCACACATGGTGATCTGAATGGGTACATGGGTAGAACGGTTCCTTGACCGAGCCACAGCCCATAGTCCCAGAAGATAATCTACAGCAGTGGAGGGAGACAAGTGGAAATCGACCATGCACTGTTAAGGAGATCATCTCTCAAAAGCGTTAGGGATATCGAGGTACTGCCTGGGCAAGAGCTGGACCCTCAGCAGGCCGCTCCTGGCCATCGCTATAGACCTTCCTAAGAAAATGAGGGTAAGAGTCGAGCAGAGAATTCGTGGAGAATGCACAAAGTGGAAAAGGAGAGCTTCAATCGAATAATACTGGGGAAGGACTCCCACATCCGCTTCAAGGGATGGACCTATGCAGCAGAATGCAATGGAATTCCTGAGAGAGACGCGAGGTGAAACCAAAGGAGGCAAGGTAGCGTGATTCTGAAACAACGAAGTTCAGGGGATGTTAAGCAGAAGAAGGAAGCTAACAAATGCTGACGAAAGGCAAGGAGCGCGGAAGACATCGAGCTACTCAAGACAGGGTAATGAAGACTGTGAAGGTACCAGTCGAAGTCCGAAAGAGATGGAAAGAATACGTCGAAGGATTCCTGAACGAAGAATCTCCTCGCACAGCTTACTGATAAAGACGGCAGATCCTGTTACCTTCTGGACAGAGCATGAGATCCGCAGAGAGTTAGAAGGAATGAAGTTTGGGGAAGCGATAGGTCCAGATGGGGGACCAATAAAGGCGTGGAAGGCCCTTGGAGAGCGTGAATTAGGTAGGCTCACCCAATTCCTGAAATAATAGCCGAAGGAAGGAATGGGGATGGATTGAGGAGCGGCACAATGGTCCCATCTTCGAACAGAAAGGAGGCGCGACGGAGTGCTCCAAATACCGTGGCATCGAGCTGACCTTGTATACCATGAAGCTGAATGAGCGGCTAGTCAACACAAGGCTGAGAGAACTTATTCCTATCTCGCAGGAGCACTGAAGGCTGGGCGAGAAAAAAGGTCCCTGCCCGAGAGGTCCGCCTTTGATACCATCTTCATCGCTAGACAGGTGATGAATTGGTATCGAGAGAAGCGGCAACTCTGCTTCCTAGCCTTCCTGCACCATGAGAAGCCATTCGAACAGCCGTGTTCTGGCTTGATTTGAAGAGCGTTAGGAACATAACATCCCAGAGCACCTGGTCTCCATTCTCACGGCTTGACAAAAGAGGTTGACATCACGGTTGGGGTACACTGAAAATCACCCCCAGCCCGCTTCCCTTCCTCAATGGACGCCATGACAAAAAACTCTTGGCCTCTGAAAACCATCCTCTACGCTGACGACACTGCCCTGTTAGCAGATAGCAGGGAATAACTTTAAGACAAGGTGCAGCAGTGACAGGATCTGCTCGCTGAGAATGGACCCCAGCTGAATCTAAAGACCTAGTGGCTGAGCTCTGAAGATTGCACCGAACCTGTCGTAGATCGCCACGGCGAAAGCATCGAAAAGGTCGACTTCCAGTACCTGGGGAGCGATGTAACAGCTGAAGGTGGCATGGACTAGCGGTAAAAGACGAATCAATACAGCCAGCATGGATTGGGGGAGTCCACAGGCTTCCTCCGCGAACGTCCATGGGGAAGGTGCACCGGGCGGGTAGGGCTGCACTGCTCTACGGCAGTGAGTGCTGGCCCATCTGCAAGAAACATGAAAGGCCGCTCCACTCAGCGAAATGAGGATGCTGGGATGGGTCCGTCGCTCCACACGACTAGACACAGTCAGAAACGAGGACATTAGGGCAGTCACGAAGGCGGCTCCGATCCAGCTAAAGGCACGAGAGCAGCGATTGTGATGGTAGGGGAGGTACTCTGAGAAGGCCCGGAGGCCACCCAATAAGGAAAGCGTTGGGATTCGAAGTACACGAAAACGAGCAGAGGAGCCTTAAAGAAAAGATGGGAGGGGGGGGGCATCGTCAATGAGGACATCACTGAAATGAATGCCAAGGCAGAAGATGCAGTGGAACACCATCGGAACAAGTGGCGACGTCTAATAAGAACAGCGAACACTGCGACGGCGCGGGACTAACGCTAGGAAGAAGATGAAGAAGTGGACAAAATGTGTTTCCTTCTTGCTGACGGAGTTGCAAGGGATCTTACAAATCTAAGCAGGAGCGATTCTCTGTGAACCACTTCTATAACTTCCCAGACATTCAAGCAACTAGAAGCTGCCAAGGTGACGTTGGTTGTGCGAAAAACATCTAAAATTCCGTATCAGTTCTTTAACAAAAAAAAACTCCATACCGTCGCACCCTTGTCCAACCGTCGCCTTCATCCCGCTCGATAAGCAGCAATTCTTCACCCTCTCGCATTCCGATTGTTCCTTCGGTTCCACCTTCAAACGAAAATTGAGCCAAGGCTGTACCCAATGCAGGCATCGCACATTCTTCGTACACCTGAACAGAAACTAATCTGTACAACACGATTTCTTTTCAAAAAAGGGAAGCCGGGGAAAGGATCTCGAACAGTAGTGTCTAGAAAGTATCGAGAAATTCAAGTTGGTTCACTCACGGGGGAGGGGGCTCGTGAAGGGACCTTCGCAGTTCTCATTTCCGGGGTTTGGTAACACTACTAGTACCCAGAGCTGAGTGAGCGGGGTCGCTAGCTTTTCAACAACCTATCACTCTCATTCCGCCTTACTCATTGAAGTGTGAAAGAGCGTTAAACACAGCATCTCCCTTGTCGACCTGAACAGAGAAGAAATGAGAGCAGTGACTTGCCTGTATGCGGAGGGTGTGAGACCTGTGGATATCATTCGTCAACAGGTCTCACACCATTCACCCATGCAACAGTACCATGTGTTTGGACACTCAACTCCTTTGATGTTCGAAGGGAGCATTACAGGGAAGAAAACTTTCAACGCACGAAAAAGATATTTGTGTGGTGAATTTGTGTGGTGACGAACCAATACCGATGCAAACTTGTGAAACTTTGGAAAACGTGCATTGTGCTTCAGAACAAAAAAATAGTCATGCAAGAGTTTTTCGACATTAAAACAAATACGCATTTCTAAAATATCCCTTTAGTTTCTGATATCCCCTCGTAACACGTCGGAGCGAAACAAATATAAAGCCAGGCAAAAGAAAAATAGGAACCAAGGCATTTCTAGAAAAAGAGCAGGAACGGTGTTCTAAGGCAATCAAAGCTAAACTCCAACATCGAAAGGTAATTGCGGCTCATCTCACCGGTGACGGGGAGAGCATGGCGTCGCGCTGCGTGAAATTTTTACTGAATACGACCCTCACCCCTGAAAGAGGGTCTCGTTACCGGGGCAAGTCCTACGCTGGTGAATCTCCAGCGGAGGAGGGTTGTATTTGGTTGCTGAAAGGAGGAGGGATCGTATTTGGTCTGAGAAAAATTTTTTTGATAGTTGATCTTTCTCGTTTCACGAGCGCTATTCACATCCTTGGAAACATTCCAACAAAGGGAGTCGTATTTGCTCGCCGTCGGGAAAAAAGGGGGTCGTGTTTACTCCTTGTTGGGAGGGGGAAGGGGTCGTGTCTGCCTTTGAGAGAAATTGACCGCGTTGTGAGAAACTTTTCCCGGTTGTTGACTTTTTGCGATTTTTAACGCTTCACTGGTGCTAAATAGCCCTCCCCCTACCTACAACTGAAGGATACCAACTCGTCATGGCCATTCAGGATGTGACGTATACTCCTAGAAGCATCTTTGGACGCTGATTTCAGATCTGACTTCCAAATCTGCTAAACGATTCTAGGAGAGAAGTTACGGACCTTTTTTCCTACTGTGCTTAACCATTGCAGTGGGCCCCCTGCCCATAGTTTGTGCTTGTGGAACCCTCGTGACACTGCCGCAGTATTGATCGATGGCGCAGCATACATGCGCGGGTCTCTAACTGCCCCAATGATCCTAAATCAATGGCCAGTTTTTGACCGACTGGCGAAATTGGCCAAAAATTTGTCTCCGGAGGTAATTTGACCTGTAGAAGACGAACATCACATGCGCTCAGTGTGAAATCTCCTGGGCCCGCTCCACAGGCGCCGGCGCTACAATACCACAAATCATTGGCGCCTGTGGCGCGGGCGTTAGGAGGTTACGGGCCAAGCGAATGGGATGTTCGCATTGAGGAAGTAAAATGACTCCAGGATGCAACAGCTGAGCCAAGTCTGTCCAAGGAGAAAAAAGCCGGTCAAAAATGGGCACGATTTCGCATGATTGGGGCAGTAGAGGGTAAAGAGTGCCGTTCTCTCAACTGCGCAAGTGGTATCCGGTGGCAATAAAGTGCCATCTGCTCTTCATGCACGGAAACGTGCATGAAGAGCAGATGGCGCTTTATTGCCACCAGATAGATAGCTATTCCTTGTACTGGATCGGTAGCATGCTATGGTTTCGTACACCTCAACCACACGCATGCTATGCTAATTTGTACAAAAGTGAAGTCCTCAAGCAATGAGAACTTTCGAACCACCTCTGCTAGCGGGACCTCCTACCTCGAAAGTGCAATCCTCTTCTCTTCTCGAATTAGTGACCGGTTAATTTCGCAGGATCAGAATTCTGCCACTAGATGTGATAGTAACAATGTCGGGCAAAACATATCTCCGTTTATTAGACGTAGGATTCGATAGCCGCTGGCCGATATTGTGAGTGTGGAGTGAAGAGGTCCCGTGTTATGCAAACCAAATGTAGTAATCAACAAAGCGGTCAAAACTTTCGGTTCAAGTGCTTGAAGCAGTTATGAAGGTTTACCTGAAACCTGCTTGAGAATAGGTGAAAGTGCAATCCCTCTCAAAAGTCATCCACAGGGCTCAACAAGGAGCAGAGTAGGCCCCTATGTCTGAACTGATAAAACCACTTTCCAAGTGTTCAGCATACGTTTCGAAAAAAGCAAAACGACGAAATGCATCAAGGATTGGAACCCTGGTTTCACAGCTCGCGAGCGAGCCCGCGCACCTAACTGCTGCGTCATCAAGCCACTGCTGGAGCGTCACGAGGGTTTCACAAGCACAAAGAATGGGCAAGGGACCTACCCCAACGGTTAAGAACAGTAGGAAAAAGGTCCGTAACTTCTCTCCTAGAATCGTTTAGCAGATTTGGAAGTCAGATCTGAAACCAGCGTTCAAAGATGCTTCTAGCGGTATACATCACGTCCTGAATGGCCATGACGAGTTGGTATCCTTCCGTTGTTAGTTGGTGGTGTTTCAGAACCATTATACAGCTACTAGTTTCGACAGTTGGAACTAGGATGGGGAAGGGAGTCGTAGCAGAGGACGATAGGGGGGAGGGATGATTTCCGAAGGATTTGCCCAGCTGCTCTGCAAGACCTCCTGCTCGAGAGAAATGAGACGATACTGAACAAGATATTTTGAGTTTGAATGTTCGCTCGCATTCGGCAGTTGCACTGGAGCGAGCTGTTCCGCGGTATCTTTTCGAAGCAGGTCAGGAGCTGAATAACAGTGTATAAGTTCTATAGTGTGAATAGCCACAACTTTCTTCCGCTATTAAGACCCACCAGTGAAATCAGTAATTGTGCTGAAATGTAGAAGACATCCGCATTCTAAAAAGCACCTCACTTCTCCCATAGACCCGCTTTTTAGGGAGCTCACGGTCGTGTTTTTGTTGTGACAATTCCTCGCCGACACAAAATACCTACTGCTCCGGCGCAGTAAACCTACTGCTCCGGCGCAGTAACATTTCCGGTTCGTTTAAATACTTAAATATGCTTATAAACACATGTTTTTCCAAAGCTATCAGGATGCAGTCACTCGGCGCCGATCGAGAACTTCTGCACTGCGCTATGCATCCGACTCCCAAGCAAAGGTGTTGGAATGGTGTACTTTCTAAACAAGGCCTCCCCTGTAGACAGATGGACTCCATTGGCTCAAGAAAGGTCCAAGTGTACACTGTGTTTCGCTTATTTATACCATTTTCATTTCAGATTCACCCTTTTTCAAACCAAATTGTTTGCTTAGTTATACCATTTTCACTTTAAATTCACCCTTTTTCAACCAAATTCGCCCTTTTTCAAACCACAAATTCACCCCTTCTTCGAACAAATTCACCCCCATTTTCACATCAAATTAACCACACTTTTAGGTGGGCAACTCATCAAGCAGATCACGCCAGACATCACTGCGAGCCCCGCCCGACGACCACGCCCACTTGTCAGCGCAGACAGATTTCTCAAGTCTTTGTTCCTAACTTCTGCTTTTGCTTTCTCCACAAACCCTACGACTGGAAACCACCGGACATTGGCACAACCCCGCCCGTTCTCTGAAGGTTTGATCCATGGCTGAGCACGCCTATTGATTTTCGCGGAATTTCGACATTCTTTCAAGATTTTTGCATTTTAGGGCTGCTGCGTGAAGCCCCGCCCATTGTGAGATGCTCCGCCCACTTTTTCAAAATTTCCGGTGCAACTAGGCAGTATAGAGACTTTGGCTTGCATGCTAGGGTATTGCTAATCATTCGGAACAAGAAAATCCGGCCCAAAGTTTATCCGAATGATCAGCAATACCCATAGGCATGGCAAGCCAAGGCTCTATACCGCTGATTTGAACCATTTCTTTTTGAAAAGTGGCGGGCTTCTTCAAAGTGGTGCGGAGCCGCCCCACTGTAGGCGGGGCTTCACGCAGCAGCCCTAAAATGAAAATTTTGAAAAATTTATTAAAATTCGCGGAAAATCAAGGTGGGCGTGAGTCAGCCTAGACCTGCTCAGTCTTTAGGGATTGGCGAAGTTGGCTCGGAACATGTGTCAATGCCCGGTGTGTTTCCAGTCAAAGCGTTTGTGGGAAACAGCAAAAAGAGAAGTTTATGATAACAAGATTTTGAGAATCTATGTCGCGCTGAGCGGGCGCCTGTGCTCGCAGTGAATGCTCTGGCGTGATCTGCTTGATGAGTTGCCCGCCACTCATAAACGTGGTTGGTTTGAATGTGAAAATTGGGTGAAATTGGTTCGAAAAAGATGAATTTGGTCGGAAAAGGAGTGATTTTGGTCTGAAAAGGGTGCCTCTATCATGAGATGTTCTTTTCATGTTGTTTTCCACCAGCAACATCACGAATGATATTTTGATTGACAACCTTCTGAATATCCCTGCTGTTCCATATCCCAACGTAAGACCCCCTCCTTCGCGGTCACATACGATCCATACATTATGGGACTTCCAAAGATGTGGCGTTCTATGAGCGAAAAACCTTTGTCTATCATCGCCAAGTAATCACTCAATTTTTCATTTAATGACGGTCGTGTAGACAAACAGGGCGCACAAGTAGAAAAGGTATGAGAACAGTGTCCTTCGCATAGTTTTCCAGCCGGTATTAAGCGGTAGGAATGAGGATTTAGGAATCCAATCAAAACAAGGAGGAAACAAGACAACTGGCGATGAGGTCTCACAGCAGGACAATTACGCTGCCTATGAAGGGCTCAGTCCTGATTCCGTATCTGGTTATTCCTCTCCCCCGTTTCTCGGCCAAGGTTTCCTCAACGATTGGAAACTTAAATCTTTCCACATCCCGGAAACTGTTCCAATTTTCCATGGAATTGAACGGATTTTAGCTACTTAGACTGCAGTCCGTAGTTCTTGGAGCCCTTCATAGATATGACCCTGCGGCCGTCGCTTATGGCACACGCGAACGAAAATATGGGACGTTGTATGTTGAAAATTGTTATTTAACATAGGTTGATTCTGAAAAGACACTTTCAGCAGTGAGGTTTATTGGGAAACAACCAGCGAAAATGCACGTTGAGTATACAGAACTTTGGAGGCACTACAAAAAAATCTATGTCGGGTGAAATTATTAGAGCGAAAAGTTTTCATACTTATAAGTGTTGATGTATTTAGTTTCTTTTCATGAGTTACGACCGAGATATCTACTCGGAGTTGTTTTCAACATTGAGTTGCTTCGTGTGCTGAAAAAAGGCGGAAATCGAGTCTGAAAATTGCCCGCCGCCCCCGCCAGCCGCGATTCCTCTTCGAGCAAAGGGCATCGATAGAAAAGGAAAGCAAGCCTTTGATCCGATTTAAAAACCGAATAAGATTTCGTAATACTGAAAGAGGCCCGACGGCGTAAGCCGCATGAGCCAGCTGAATCAAATGCACCTGCGACAACCGGAGGCTGAGAGTTTGGCTGCCTTATGCACCTAAGACTTCACTAAGAATAGGTACCTCGTGCCTCATGGGCGCTCCGCCCTTTGTAGGTACGTTTCAACGCACTACAGACACCGCTGAGCTCTCGTTATATGTTTCTTCTCCAACGATTTTTCTGACCTCCAAACTCGCTCAATCATGGAGTTTTGTAGCAAGCAGCGCCCATCTCAAGTACGGCCCGCACTTTTTGTGGATGTATCCCTCATTTCGAAACACAACCCTTTGACAACCTCAAGCCACTTGTTCCTTGGTGCCTATGCTACTGTGGAAGAGATTCGTAGATTCTGAGATTCACTCCGCCCCCCTCACATACGCTCACCCACAATGGGTAGATTATCTCACATCAGTAGTCGAGCTTCACACTATACTCTCCTTTTGTTGGTGACTGAAGTGCTCTGAACCGCAGTACAGATTTTTGCGTTCGGTCTCGCCCACCTTGTCACACGCACCGTATGTCTCGCACCTCTCAGCGGTAGCCCATCCCTGACTTTGATCAATTACCCTCACACTATTTCCGACCAATACCATATTACCTGGGCACTATTTACCCTTTACTTGCCCATCATCCGTGATTCGAGCACTTTTTGACGACTTCTTTCTCGGTAGATACACTCGGCTCATATGTTTGTCCCTGGGATAGGTTCGCCTTTAGAACACGGATATCACATTTGTACCGTGTGGGTGTTGAGAATGTTTGGAATGGAATAAAGGGGCGCAGACGGGCAGCGCACCCTAACCTGCAGTGATATTCAGTTTCAGGAGGAAAAACTACCCAGGTGACAAATTTTTAGCCAATTTCTCCTAAGGAGAAGAAAAAAGCGTCAAAAACTGACCTGATTTCGTTATGCTGGCAGGCAGTGAAGGTTGAACAATGCCTCACGTTAGACCGGTGTCTGGAGTGCCCTGGGCCCGCTTCATTGAATTCCTGTTAGTACTCCGGAATCGAACTACGACTTTTTGGAACCTCTATGCTTAAGGGCGCGCCCCAAACCGCTATGGACAGTTCTTTACAAAGCGCAGGTTATGCTAGACTCTCGCCAGAGATTTTCTCCTCCATAGACTTTTTTGTGATCTCTAAACTCTCTCGGGAACCGAGTTACTAAGTTTTGGGGGAAGTATCGTCTATTTTCAAGTATGCCTGCGCATTAAAGTTCTGTCTAATCTTTTGTGTCTACCCTTTGCTGACACTATTCCACTTTGTCCCCATCTCATTGGCTGCTGGGAGCAGAACTGTTGAATTTTCGAGTGGCACTGATAACTTTGGACGCATCCCCGCCCACTGTGGGCGCGGGCTCAGCATGGGGTACGGTTGCACTTTATACCTTGTCCCATGCACTACCTACAATCTCCAACTTATTCTCCAGGTACAGGTACAACGAGCTACAGGACAGACAAAACAAACAATGGCGAACAGACCAGACGTAGCAGATTATTGTACCCTTTTCACTTAAAATAGGACTTGTGCGACTTTTCCAAAAAAGTTGCGCGACTGTTCCAACAAGTTCACGGCTTTTCAAACCACGGTTCACGACTTTTTTCAAATCATACTTCACGACTTTTCAGATTACGGACTCTACTGCAAGTCCCGCCCTATAGCACGCCCTCACTTCAGCGTGGTTCGATGATTCTCGATTTTTATTTTTTCCGGATTGTGACATTTTTGTACTTTTGCTATTCGCAAATGCACACAGCTAAAAAGGACTGTATACCTGCACATGGGTAACTCGCCATTTCCCAAAGGATTTTGCTGCAAACTTCAACTTTTTCATAACTTTTTCAACTTTGTTGATTCACGTCACTCCTTCACATAATGGCGGTACTTGTAAGAGGCACACTCATGCACTGACGAATTAGGCTCCGCCCCTTGGCCACGCCCACTTGCAGCTTTTCGTGATACCTTGATATTTTTTTTCGAAATTTTTCGCATTTCCCGACTGCTTGAAGCCCCTCCCACTGTGAGTGGCTTCGCCCACTTCGAAGAAGCTACTGCCCTACTCTTAAGAAATGGTGTAAATCGACAGTATAGAGTCTCAGCTTGCATGCTTAAGATATTGCCGATCACTTGGAGCAAACTATGCCTGTTTTTATTCGAGTGACGAACGGAGGCCTTAGGCTTTCTCAAAGCAGGTGGAGCCTGTCACAGTGGTCCGGGCTTCGCGTAGTGTCGAAAGGCAAAATTAGAAAAATATCAATGATTAAACAAAAAACTTGCAACGTGGGCGCCGCAGGGGCGGAAGCCTAA